GAAAACTTCGAGTGTAAGCCTTGTCCATACAACACCTACCAGGACGTTAAAGGACAGAGATACTGCGTACCTTGTACTAGCAGAGAGTTCACTGTCGTACCTGGATCTGTGTCTGAGAATTGTGTTGGTATGTAAATGTAATGCATATTTTGTTGGGGCATTAATACTCTTTTAAACATTTTTGCTTCTTCACTCAAACCAGTAGATATAATATAGTAGATACGTACTGTGGATATCGTTAAGGAAAGTTGAGATTTGGGCGGGTTTATCCAGGGATTCTTAAAGCAAGTCCTATTGGCACTAACGTTGCATGACTTAAAAGCTTTGATACATTCTTCTCAACAAATCTTGGCCTCAGATTCTGCGATTCCAACGGGTAGAAAGCTGGATATCAACCACGAGCTAAGTATAGTCATAAAAGGCGAAACTGAAGGCAACGTGGATGTCTGTACCCAGATGACGGAGTTGGAACTGACTTCGTGTACTTACAATGGAACTGACCATTCCAACTTGGTCACCTTTCCTGTCTCATTCCCTACTCAGACCGTAAGTTGTGATGTGGCTGAGAACGAGGTTTTCCATATTTTCACAATAATAGACATTGGCTGATTGCGTTTAATTACTTAAACTAATTCTTAATTTCCTCAGCAATATACTTTTTCAGTTAACTTGGCTGACAGATGAAATACACAGCTGGTACAATAACCTGAATACTCATGGTTTGGCTACAGCACAGTATCTTCAACCTTTAGTCGGTATGTGTTAATTTACTTCATGTACTCTTGTTATTATTCTACTTTAACATCCAGCTCCCGCGCCTCCCGATTAGGTTTACTAAAATATGCTTCGAAGACGTGGACGTATTTACAAGATGATCAATTTCCTCATGACTCTTGATATGAAGAGTGGTGCGTGTCTTGGTGTTACGAAAAGAAACTTCACTTTTTCGGATATCTGGCCGAGACATGTCACTGTCTTTATTTCCATAACTTCAGTCAATTGATACCAAGTTTTATCTCAGCATCTCCGGCGGGGTCATGTGGTGTTTACTACGGACTCCTGGGTTACGAGGGCTGTGAAAAAGTTGCATCTGGTCTCAAAACAGTAGCAAGTACGTTCCAGCTATTATATAACATAATATTTAAAAAGTACAACTTTAAGCCCCAACAACACATATAAAAATAACACCTTGCCCTCAGCGAAAGTTGAACAGTGCCCGGATACGGCGTCCAGTTCATTGGACTGGTTAGCAGTGTTCGGACCCATGTTTAAGACTCGATGTTGGAACGCCAAAGACCTCTATTCTTCATCTGATCAACGCTACAAATACCTTTGCGATGTAAGATTACTAATATACTCTCATTAGTTTATCATGGAATTTGTTTTGATGTTTCGCTCCGTTCTAACAATTCTTATGTTATTCGACTTAAATGCCTTGGGTTTATTTTTGCAAATCTTTAAATACGCCTACTACTTTACCGTTCCTTTGTATATTTCATTTTTGTATTCTGTTACATAACATTCCCATATTGATCGATAATTTTTGTTTCAGGTATTAAAGCTGGCGGTGGGTAACAACTGGGACGCCACTCCCGGCGAGACACCAGTAGAGAACGCTAACATCTGCAAGATTAAGAATGCTCTAAAAACCGCTTACTCTTGCCGGTGCAACTCAAAGTGTAAGTATACACTATACAATATACACTATACACTATACTCTATACACTATACACTATACACTATACACTATACACTATACACTATACACTATACTCTATACACTATACACTGGTGTCTGGTATAGTCGAATCGAGGTATGCTTAATAGGGGTTTTACTGTTCAATGAATTTAGTTTGAACGTTAAAACTTCATTTTCAGATTCCTTCGATTGTAAAATGAAAAATAAAAACAGTGGGACTGGTTCTCAGTATGGTGGCATGATTTCTAAAACCAAATCTGATCTTAATTGTCAAGCCTGGAATGTAGACTCTCCCAACACTGTTTCTGCAATTTCAAAGTAAGTACGAGTTATTATAGCTGGCACATTCGGTTTTTAAATATTCTACATTTTCCTGAGCAGTGTATTATAACGAAACACTGGAAAGTCATTACGTCTGTCCAACAGTATCAGCTGTTGAAGTTAATCTTCGATTCCTGATGATGATTTTTCCTGAAATTTAACTCAAATTCCCCGGTGTTGTATGTAGATTTCTAAAATATTATGTCTATTCAGGCAAGTTGGAAGTGGGACGGGTGCTCACAACTATTGCCGGTATGTGGCCACCACCCCTAGTAACACTCTAGCGTCAGCCCCATGGTGCTACAATGCTGGTGGTACTTCTCCCAGCTGGGAATACTGCGATATCCCCTACTGTAGTGATGGTGCGTACTTCTTTGCTAATTATGCCAAAGATGCGATTATTGGCAGAATCTTTAAATAGTCCCTTAACTTGCGACCTAAAAATGTACTCAAAAATAACTATTCAGATAGTGACGGCTGCGTGATCATCGAAGCTTTCACCTCTGTGGACGTTGGTACCAGTTGTGAAGCACATCAACCAACTAACTGTGAACTTAAAACTTACGCTAAAACTCTCAGAACTGCTGTGAGTATTATGGAATGAAATGAAATTGAAATAATGTTTTAAGTTGAATAAGTCAAAATAAGAGTTGTGGAATATAAGTGGTTAAAACGCTTTATTCATATGAATGTTCTTTCAGCTGGACGCATCTTCGTGCAAGTCTCATCCCGACAAGAACGCATGTGTAATGCTGGAGCGAATATACGCCTCTCTTTACGGCAAATATTGTTACAACGCACTAGTCCAGGTTTGAACAACATCATTTCAATACATATCTGAAATAGCTGGCATTACAGAATTCTGATTTCGAAATAAAACGCAACTATTATATCGTACGTACAACTGCAACATTCCAGTTTATCAAATTTTAGTTCTCATTTATTCATACTTTCAGCCCGGTGGTGATGCAGCTGTTACTCGAAGTAGCATTACTTCTCTCAAGACAACATACATCGGAGGTTCTCTCCTTGATCTTAGCTTTTACGTCTCTTTTATTCTTCATAGCTTTATTTATGATTGGCACCTTAAAGTTAAATGAGAACATTTTGGCATCATTGCATATAATTACGTATTTGTTCTTCAATTACTAACTATACTTACTAACTATACTTCAATTACTTACTATATATTCAATTTTTCAGAGATACCAACTAAATTGTATATCAAGGCTGAAATTGACGCAAATGTTTGCAAAACCTACAAGGATCGTTTGACGGTCTGTGAAGACCCTTTTCAAGCCCTTGTGGAGGCCCTTAGCAAGGCTTACTGTGATTGTGAGTGAATCGTTCAATGATAGACAAAGTTGTAAAACTTTCAATCAGTGACACTTTAAAGAGCAAATACAAATTTGCAACGCATAATTCTCGGCAATCTTATTTATTCTTGTGCTAACATGTATTAAATTTCAGCCAACTGCTTGATGTCGTTTATCGACTACACGGCCATCAAGGCAACTGATTCTGGTCCGGTTACGTTTTACATATACCAGGAAGTCTTCCTCAGAGGAAACTTAGATGATCTTCTTATAATAAACAAGGCTGTTAAAGAAATCGGAAAGGTTATAAATCGGCTTTTATTGGCTTTTATTACAATCACTCTAATGATGACTTATAATAATTAACTTAAAATTAAACTTATACTTTGTTTACATTTCAGTATACCCAATTGGATAGTTACAGAATTACGCTAACGGGTCTTGGGAATTCAATCAGCTCAACCAATGTTGTAGAAGAGTTCGAGTGCCAGTTACCTTTCGAAAAATCTGCCACAAATCCAGAATGTGGTAAGTATATTTTCCTTGCGACGCGTTAAAATTTGGAATAATCATTACCTATCAAAAATTGTCATTTACTGTTCAGTATTCAACCTGATCCAACCAGCGTTGGACGGCTGAAGAGCCAACCGTCCATAGACAGGTATTTATATTGTATTTGTAAACTACTTACATACCAATTTGATGGTTTACTAAGTCGCTGCTGGCTGATATGATGTCATCATGTCTCTGTTCTAACAGTTAAATTACAGACTTTATCCATTCATGTGCTATGAAGTAATGTTCTTTCACATGTCTCGTCACCAATCTTACGCTTAATTTTCAGTAATAATGACGTCACACAGACAAATGTGCCAATTAAATTGGAATTCCGGACTGTGTCTAGAGAGCGACTTGGCCACCAGGAAGACTGCTGTGGACAAGTTTGTGAACCAAGTGAACATAGACCAGAGTTACAATGCGGAGACCTACCTACTCTGGGTGGATAACAGTTGCCAGATTGACGGTGGTGACTCCGTTATCACCATCATGCTTGTTAATAAATTGGTATGTGTGAAGGATCGGTTTTAAAGTGCACCTCATCCTTTCGATTTTTGAATAATGTTTAGAAAAAAATAAGGTCCGAGATTGCATACATATCTTAATCTATATTATAATTTGACAGATCTTGCATCAATTTCGTAGTCGGAAATGTTTGGTGACTTTCGTTCTTTCAGGTAAGCTCATTGAGTAGCAAAGCCGCTACTCTGACAGCTGCAATCAAATCAGCTGATCTGCAAAGTGACAACTATTTTGGTACCAATGCTAGAGCAAGCACGGCAACGTCTTTTGAATGTTCCGAATCCAAATTCACTGACGGTGGTTGCCCAAATATTTATGGGCATACTGGCAAATACACTCTCGGTGGCACCAAATGCGGTATGTTTGTTTTAGTTTCTGAGAATTGGAAATGTGACCAGACATGGCTTTATCAAATTCTTGATATAATTTATAAGATTAATTTCACATACTGCCAAAATTTGGTTTATTAAATTTGGTATCAATAGTACTTAGGAAAATAAATGAGTGTATGAAACTTGCGGGCAAGTACATACCTTCTGTAATCTTTAAAGATAAACCACCCGCCATAATCCATCATTATACGCACATTTACACTGATCACCTCAATATAAATTTCTTAAAGCTCTACAAGCTTGTTGGAACTTTATTTGTCGTTCTGGTTATTTTAAATCTAGAGTCGATAAGTTATGGGCAAATAAAACCCCAGTATTTGATTGAAATCGTTTCATTTCTGATTCGCATTTGTAATGGCGTCCCATCATATTGTTATTCTCTCGATTTTCTCATTCTTGTCAGTTTGTAAGTATAACTTGATGGCCAGTTTTAAAATCCATTCACCTTCTCTGGTAGTTATTGTCTAGTGCTGTCCCAAACATGCGTTTGATGAGAACAACTGCCAGCCCCTAATTTTGCAGTTCTGTCCCAGCAAATGCACGTATAGTACACTAACGACCCCTTATTTTCCAGTGCTGACCGAGGAATCGTGCGATACAGGACACTTCTTTACGGCAGGTAAATGTGAGCCCTGTCCCATTGGAGAGTACAACAGCAAAAGAGGACAATCTGCATGCACAGCGTGCCCCGATAAGAAAACTACTTTAGCCAGTGGGAGATCCTCAGTCCAGGACTGCTACCGTGAGTTCTGCCGTTTTTCGCTTAAAGACCACTTTTGAAATTTATCTACAGTCACTCTCTCTCTCTCTCTCTCTCTCTCTCTCTCTCTCTCTCTCTCTGTACAGTCACACTAAGTACTGCAACTCGTAATTGGTCGTTAACCAATATTGGTTTCTTAACAGAAATGGTCACTTTATCTCTCACTGTCAGCTTTTTTTCAGAGATTGACTATTCGCCATACGCCTTTGGCGGCGTGGGTACTGAATTCACTGTCTCGTGCACAGTGGACACATTTTACGCTGTCAAGAATCGCTTTTGGGTATTTGACGGCAAGAAATTGGAGGCATCTGAAGACAAGTAAGACAACTAAATTGTTTGAATTGTATTTTTATTTTACTCACTTTCCCCATACCTGATACGATTGATTGTAGTGTTTTGATTGTAGTGTTTTTTATTATCATGAAATTTCATTTCGATTACAACTCTATACTTTCTCAGATTCACGATCACTAAAGGGGAGACCAACGAGGGATCGGATTTTGTAACCCTGAAAATGACCGGGTTACAAACAGATCAGAACGATAAGAAAATGCAATGTACCTTCGAAACTAACTACGGCACTATAACTAAAGAAACTACACTCAAAGTCCTGCGTAAGAGGCGTTTTCAATTAGTTCGCGAATCCAAATGATATCCTTAGCTAAGGTATTGTAGACATTTCTATCGTGTTCAGCGTCAGAGAAAATATAAATAAAAATTCGTTTTATTTTTCAGAGTTCAAGACCCATCCTCAGGCTGTGACAGCAAACCCAAACGAAAATATTACCCTCTCTTGTTCTGCACAAATACCGGTTGTATCTAAAATGGTTGCAGGGTGGGAAAAGGGCGATGGAAATGTTGACCCTCAAATGGTTGCGACAACGGTTTGACACTAGCAGTGACCCTTTTCATTACAAAACAATTTTATATGATGAATTGAAATGATTAATGAAAGTTATAGAATACCATATTTTTGCCTTTTTAATTCATGGCTCCACATAGAATAACTTTTAATCGCAGACGAATGACACGGCAATTGAGGGCTCAGAAGACAAACTCGGTATCAGCACGCTGCAAGTATTTGGTACCAAGGCGACTCAGTCAGGGGTCTACAAATGTATTTTCTACTACATTGTCGGCGAGAAAACATATCCAGTAGAATCCAACACAGCTTTCGTCGTTATTCAAGGTTTGTCATTTGCACCATCAATTAAAATATCTTGTCAACTCTCGTTTCACAAAGCAAATAAAAAATTACCGAGTATTCGACTGTTTAAATACATTCTTAGTCGTCATGACTACACACGAGTTATAATGTGAATTAGTATTTGGAAACTATTGCAAGAAATAAGGGTTGAACTGGTCGATTTAATCTGTTGCTCTTGTCCAGGTCTTGTGAGCTGGCCAAGTGCCTTCCAAGCGGTCGATGGAACTGAACTGGTTATCGAATGTGTTATGGCTAGTTACGAGGACGCACCTCCATCTAAAGCTTATCTTATGTTGAATGATAAAAGCATCCCTACAAAATCGCTGGATTACGAGGTTAACAGATAGCAATTTAATTGTTTCTTTCGATTTTATCTCTATTAGTTATTGTTTACTCATTATATATTTTTAAAACTAAATGCATAATGCTGGCATTTGTTTTATTGAATGGTGTGTTACTATCAACACCCATGCAAAATGTGACTCTAATTTCACTTATCTCAACAGCTCAAAGTGGATACCCCATCGGGTCTAGGCTTCGCAAGGACGACGGTGACGCTGACCTACCACAAAGTTTCAGTTGCTTTCGAGGGAAACTTTGTGTGCGGTGGAAATTATGACAAGCCAGTAGCCAATACCGTATATCTCTCAAAACCTTCAGCTGTCACTATTTTGTGTGAGTTGTTATTTAAGCTACGGAAAGTCGTTATTGAACCTAATTTGATAGATATTATATTGACATCAAACTAATTATATTTGACGCGATAATACTACTTCCCACCTTATTCTAGTGCACTTTGCTAAATTTCGTAATCGTTGTGAAGATTTCCGTCTAGTGATAGTGTTTGCAGATCTTTTCTCAAAACTTGACCAAACCGTTTCCAGATCTGCGACACCCCCAGCATAACCAGGACCTATACATACTGGAGGGTGGAGTGTTTACTCTCCGCTGTGAATACCTCACTCCGCCCGATCCTGTGATAAAGTGGTACAGGAAGAAAAGTGGAGGAGATTGGTAGGTTTTAGAATAGCAGCTGCGAAAAGTCATTTTAGCAGTCACAAACAGTCATTCAGGGGCCAGGATATTTTACCCTATATTTTGAGTTGCAGTAACCTCGTCACTCGTGCCCCAAAGAATTAGGTCCCAGAACTTCGTGTCCTAGTAACCGTGAGCTGCTATCAGAAATTTCACTGAGATAAGAGCTAAAAGATAACTCCAACCCTACTATACCTTATTTAGAGTGTACTGCATTGTTTTCTTTCAGGGAAGAAAAGAAAGACGCTGTAACCACCACGACACAAGTCGGACTTTGGAAAACGAACGAGATGGTCCAGAATGGCGTGTCGGTAAAGGACGAGGCGGAGTACAAGTGCACTGTAGTTTACTCTGAATCGGGTACCTTCAAGGGAGGTTCTGTTGACTCAAAGAAATGGAACATCAATATAATCGGTTAGTTTAGCATTTTGACAACAGTTTCATAACAGCTCGTACTTTTTTCTGAAATAGGAATAGAAGTTAATGGGTAAATAATCTCCCGACAGCTACTCAGTCGATTGGTTATTTTTATCAATCCTCTCTAATGGAGTGTCATCAATCTTTCCTTCGCAGGATTGGAAAGTTTTACGGTATCATCTAAAGCAGTGAAGATAGGTCAAAGTGCTGCCTTCACATGTGTGACTGCTGTTGCTCCAAGTCCCACCACTCACATCTACAATAACGGCCACACTATTAACGGAGCCGCAGGTTATCCTGGCAAGCAGATTAGTGCCGATTATGTGAGTTTTAATTTTTATCTCAATCCATAAATGGGTAAAATGGGTATCATTTCTGAATATATTTGCTATATATTTTTGATAGTTTTAAATAGTTTTATCCCTGTCAAGATGCTGTTGGCATGTTGCCAGTGGAATACTAGGACCTTAAAGTAAATATCTAAATATCTAAATAATATTTTCTTCCAGTATGAAACTGTGCACGATATAAAGTCAGCCACGTGGAAGGATGATGCCATGTATGGTTGCAGGGCTTCCTACTCCAGCAAAGCTCAGCTCATATACGGAGAAACTAGCTTAATGAGGAAATCCCTCACAGTTTACCGTGAGTTCCGAGTTTTACTTTAGATTGCCGTGAATTGTGATGTGTAACAAAGTTTATTTCTCAACAATCGTGTATCGTCATCTGATGCATATGGATAAGTTTATTACGTTCTTTGTATTTTGTATTTATTTTGGATATGCGTAAACTTTGTAGACATTATTATATTCCCGCATTTCTTGTTGACTGGCATCTCAAATAAACTTTTAGGTAAGTGCAGCGCCTTAGCCACGCCTGATGGAGGACAGATTAAGATTGACGAGTCAGGCGCATCTGGCGAGAAAGCCACTCTGTCTTGTGGCAACAACTACATTCGGTCTCAAAATTACTCCTCGTAAGTTATCATAATCATCAGGCGACAGGCAGAGGTAACATGTAAGTGCAGTTGGTACGGAATTGCACTATTCGCCTAATATCACACTTTTCCGCACCAGTGGCCAATATTCGTTCTTATCTGTCAGATTTGTGCGCTCAGTGCCTATGTACAATGAAAATCTGAAAAAACACATGTACATCAATTTTTCCTCAAAAAAGTCTTCCTATTGTCACTTAAGTTTTGATAGTATATTTTGCAGGCATTTTAACTTGTTCACACACAGTGTTGGAAATATTACCGCACCTACATGTTGCCTCTGTCACCAGGTCAAAGCACTCGTGGCCTCGTCCAATTTCCACTAAATTGTAACATTCAATGCTGCAGATACAACACGTACAGTACACTCGTGGCCTCGTCCAATTTCCACTAAATTGTAACATTAAATGCTGCAGATATAACACGTACACACTCGTGGCCTCGTCCAATTTCCACTAAATTTTAACATTAAATGCTGCAGATACAACACGTACACATGTAACGGAGAGACGGGACTTTGGACCAGTGAAAAGTACTCGGAGTTACAGAACAAGACCAACATGGTTCCAGCTATTGACACTTGCATGTGTAAGCTATTCTCTCCACTTTTTATTTTATATTTGTTCCTTCAAACATATGTATTCATCTTGACTAAATTGGCATTTTAGAAGTTTAACATAAGCATAGTTGAATTACTGCAGCTTTCAATTTTCGAACCCAAAAATGCTGTTGTATCGTTCCATTTACTTTTATATAAATTAATTTTGTTTCAGTTAAGACGAAACCCGCCTTCTACAATATCCAATTTCTGCTCAGCTTCGCTTCCGAAACAATCATGTAAGGAAACTAGAACTAACTTATCGGACTTTATTTGATCGGTCATCGGACATTAATTGGACGCTGCCAACATGTAACTCTTCAATAAATTACGTAATTCGTGTCAAAAAAAGTTCAGAAATTATAGATATGAGTCTTGAACGTAGATTTCCTGAAAGTTTCGTTAAATCAACCCCTAATTCTATCATTCAAAAATGTAGTGTTAAATGTGGTATCTCAAGAAACGATCCTTAACGAACTTGAAGTCTATAATTCGTTCGTTCGTTTGGTTGTAATCCACTTATCTCATGTTGTTCGGCTATGTGTGTATGTAATCTTAATAGAAGCTAGAACTGATTAAGACAAATGATCTTTAAAATTTGGTGTCTAGCTCCCCTCAGACTCCCCTCAGACTCCATTGTAAGTTAAAACAATTCGAAACTATGTGGAGAAACAAGAGGCTTTCGTGGCGTCCCAGTATGCAGTAATTCGTACGCTGTATTAACCACATAACACAATTGATACACGACTAATAAGTGATCACATTCCTTATCTTACTTTATTTGAACGGATATTAATTGGACACTGGAGACCCTAACGGTCATTTTAATGTCCGTTCAAATAAAGTCCGACAAGGTAGTTAAATTAAATATATTAAATGAATACCTGCGTCCTTCAAGCGTTCCTTTTAATGTCCGATCAAATAACATCCGATAAGGTAACTCATTTCTTTCCCCTTATTTATGTACGAAAATCAAAAATCATTTATCTAGTCCCTTCTCAGACCCGTCTAAATTGTAAGCTTTAGTTTTATTCCTCCTCTTCTAGTCTGTTCCTTTTTAGGTGCAAGAATGCAGCTGAGGTTAACGATGTGAAGACCTCAATGGACGCTTACTTTGCACAGTTTGCCGATAGATTTACATGCAAGCGACAGTCCTCGTGCTTCATTATATTCAACGAGTGCTATGAAGACGTCAGTTTGTTTTTATACATTTTTAAAAATAGTTTTTCATTGTTTTTTATTTGATTTCACAAACTTTTACAATTGATTCGTGTGAATTTTATTATAAATTATCCAATTGATTATGAGTATGCATAATCCAGATCCATTGGATGTACAATTTTCAAAATGTTCACATAACCATCATTGCTTCAGACTGGATATGGTTACTATCTACAAATGAGATTTGAAGTTTCTACCAAAGTTGAAACCTCTATCTGGCTGACACAAATCGATGGAGAAGTCAGGAGCGTCATAACGTATGTTTAACTTTAACTTACTTATTCTAGTCACTTATAATGACTAGCAGGTAACAGGACATCTGTCCGACAGCACATTTTTTGTGTTTGAAGTGATATCTCAAATTTGGCACATATAAATTCACCCAAACTTGCACAAATTATTTGTCTTAAAGCTATCTTACTATCTAGAAAGTTTCTAGACAATCGTATTGTTGGATCTCCAGATATGTTCCTTGGAAACACTGCAAACCACCGAATATTTTTTGTGTTTGAGGTGATATCTCAAATTTGGCACATAGAAACTCGCTTAAACTTACACAGATTATCCGTCCTATAACCATCATACTTTATGGAAAGTTTCAAGAAAATCGTACGGTAGGAAAATCGTCCCAATAACCTATTTTCTGAGTCGGACAGATGTCGCTGTCGGACAGATCACAGATGTCGCCCAATCTCAGCTGGTTAGGTTGGTGTGTAAAGAATATGCGATAAATTGTACGTATGCTGCCCACTTCCCAGCCTCATGGAGCTAGCTTTATGAGGCTGGTCAACAAACTAGCAGGACATTAAGAAAATGTAAAACATGCCCCGTCAATAGGTGATCTAAGAAGCATAATCTTATGATCGGGCGACATCTGTCCTGCTGGCATGACTAATGACTATGAGCATTTTTGAGAGTCCCGACGAAAATGCCAAATTCTCACTCTCACTGAGAAAAGTTTCCAGGAGAGGTGAAAAAAAAACTCATTCTCAAAAATAGATTTTGAGTATTTTTGGACCACATTGCACTGATATGAAGAATGATTTGGTATATCACTATTTTTGAGTGGACAATTTTTGGGAAAATGAGAAATCGATGCTGAATTTCTCAGATTCAAAAATAATTTCTGAGAAAGTGAGAAATCCGCATGTTGATTTCTCAGATTCAAAAATGTTTTTAGAGTGGACAATTTTTGAGAAAATGAGAAATCGATACTGAATTTCTCAGATTCAAAAATAATTTTTCATGATCCCCCCCCCCCCCCCCCCCCCCTATCTACACAGCAGTATCATGTGACTAAGTTTATCACGTTCTCTAGAGTAGCTGGAACCCGTCTAACTCTAAAGTGGTATCAAGAGACAACGATTATTTTGTGATCTCTTTATTTCTTCATACGGTTTGATGTCGTTGTGTCAGTAAAATGGCAACATTATACCGTCTCGCTTTATCTATAATATATAGCATATAGTAATATAGTAAGATAGTGAGACGTTAATGAGCACAGATAGTAGCCGGCTAGTGACCACATGATACTAGCCAATCTTAATTTGACGTATTGGACGACCAAGAGGGAGCTTTTCAATTAGCTGGCTAGTGACCACTTTTGAATCATGACATGTTTATGCTGTGTGCCACTTTTAGTCTATGATCGATGTGTCTGTTCGGTTAAGACAAATTTATAAGATTTATTTTCCGTATAATATGATAATTTTAAGAATTCTAATTAATTTATCAATTCAGTGCGTAACACGAACAAACAAATGAGACAAGCATATCACTAATTATAAGAACAATACTATTGGTTTACTGAAAAATTAAAGATATAGATAAAATCAAGAACGGGTGTAATATCAAATATGTCTAAAAAAGATAAAGCAGACAGGGTTTGGTCCAAATGCTAGTAACTAGCTCCATCGTTTGCTCCGATGACATCCGCTGTTTCGTATCCGGGCATCAAGTTAACCTACTGGTCTTGCGGAGGAGAAAGCGTCGTTGTACTGATATAGATCATCGTAGACTACACCACTTTGGACAGTGAACCCAGTCCCTTTGTAGTTAGCGTCTGTGTATATTTCCCAGTCTCCGTCTGCTACTAGGCTCGACACGATATCGTTCCACTTCATTCCTAAAAAAGGTGTTGGTCCAGTCAGAGTTTTTGACTTGCCACCCCGGTTGCCGTGCTCGTACAAGGTGAGCGAAGCAGTCCAGGCGGTGGAGAGTAAAGCGAGAAGAGAGAGGGTGTGAAGCATCTTTGAGAAGTTGCTTGATAGAAATGATGCCTGTGTTTGTCTTGAGCTCTAGTTAAGTAAACATTATCGCGCTGATAATCTTACTTGATAATGTGCAACATGGAAAGGTGTCTTGACGATGTGCTTTATCATCTCCCTTCGATAAGGAGCATAGTCATTAGTCACTAGTCACTAGTCAGTAGTCACTAGTCACTAGTCAGATGTTAATGTGCTTATCGCGGGCTATAATTCTAATACCCAATCACCGGGTTAAAGTTGTATTAAGTATTAAGTCTCACATTTCTTGTGCTTTTAGCCTTTATCCAATGCTGTACAGGTGTAAAATGTACCGTACTCAATTGTTAGTTAGCAGAACTGCAGACTTAGCGGAGAGATAAAAGACTAACGTAGTAACTCGTACTCCGTTTTATAGATCTAGATTGTAGAATACGCTATATAAATATCTACCACATACCACACTTTATATTATCACAAACGACTAGTAACCGAGTACCGGTCTAGAGATTTGGCTGCTGAACCGGAAACAGTAGGATATCAATCTATTTTCCTGTAAGCTGGACCAGAACTGAGTGGCAAACAGGAAAATTAAAACTATACTGAAAGGTTCTGGAATTTCTAACCGCTGGTTGCTATATGTTAGAAAATTTGTATCTGCCATTGAACCCTGTGATACTATTATGAGGACCCGGCAATAGCCGTTGGATTACAAGCAGAAATTATTTGTCAAACTAGAGTACGCTACCGGGACTCTAGTTCGGCATGAGTCTTCGGATAGACTGCAAAAGAACCACAATTGGCACATTTATATGTGATTTAAGAAGTACCATATGCCTTTTCAGTTATTGGCGAAAAACTGATTTTCGGTTTCATAAAATCATGAACAAATATGGGTAAATTGCAGGCTTATATGCAGCGCCATTATCAGATTATCTTCAATTGTGTCATAGAGTCTGAGGTTAGCTGATCACCAACTTGTAGTGATCAACTGTCTCAATCAGCTCCCGTTAAGATTACATTTACAAAGTTTATCACGACCTGGGGGGGGGGGGGGGGGGGGGGGGGGTGGGGGGGTTTCCAGGAGAGGTGAAAAAAAACTCATTCTCAAAAATAAATTTTGAGTATTTTTGGACCACATTGCACTGATATGAAGAATGATTTGGTATATCACTATTTTTGAGTGGACAATTTTTGGGAAAATGAGGAATCCATGCTGTATTTCTCAGATTCAAAAATAATTTTTGAGACATTTTTGTGAATTCCCGGTGAAAATGATCAAATTCTCAGATTCAAAAATTCTCAAAAATACTCATGTCCCCCCCGCCCCCTCCCCCTATCTACACAGCAGTATTAAGTTTAACACGTTCTCTAGATAGAAGTAGCTGGAGTAGCTGGAACCCGTCTAACTCTAAAGTGGTATCAAGAGACAACGATTATTTTGTAATTTCTTTATTTCTTCATACGGTTTTTGCCGGAAATCTCGTAAAATTGATGTCGTGGTGTCAGTAAAATTGCAACATTATACCGTCTCGCTTTATCTATAATATATAGCAATATAGTAATATAGTAAGATAGTGAGACGTTAATGAGCACAGATAGTAGCCGGCTAGTGACCACATGGTACTAGCCAGTCTTAATTTGACGTATTGGACGACCAAGAGGGAGCTTTTCAAGTAGCTGGCTAGTGACCACTTTTGAATCATGACATGTTTATGCTGTGTGCCACTTTTAGTCTATGATCGATGTGTCTGTTCGGTTAAGACAAATTTATAAGATTTATTTTCCGTATAATATGATAATTTTAAGAATTCTAATTAATTTATCAATTCAGTGCGTAACACGAACAAACAAATGAGACAAGCATATCACTAATTATAAGAACAATACTATTGGTTTACTGACAAATTAAAGATATAGATAAAATCAAGAACGGGTGTAATATCAAATATGTCTAAAAAAGATAAAGCAGACAGGGTTTGGTCCAAATGCTAGTAACTAGCTCCATCGTTTGCTCCGATGACATCCGCTGTTTCGTATCCGGGCATCAAGTTAACCTACTGGTCTTGCGGAGGAGAAAGCGTCGTTGTACTGATATAGATCATCGTAGACTACACCACTTTGGACAGTGAACCCAGTCCCTTTGTAGTTAGCGTCTGTGTATATTTGCCAGTCTCCGTCTGCTACTAGGCTCGACACGATATCGTTCCACTTCATTCCGAGAAAAGGTGTTGGTCCAGTCAGAGTTGTTGACTTGCCACCCCGGTTGCCGTGCTCGTACAAGGTGAGCGAAGCAGTCCAGGCGGTGGAGAGTAAAGCGAGAAGAGAGAGGGTGTGAAGCATCTTTGTTGCTTGATAGAAATGATGCCTGTGTTTGTCTTGAGCTCTAGTTAAGTAAACATTATCGCGCTGATAATCTTACTTGATAATGTGCAACATGGAAAGGTGTCTTGACGATGTGCTTTATCATCTCCCTTCGATAAGGAGCATAGTCATTAGTCACTAGTCAGTAGTCACTAGTCACTAGTCACTAGTCAGATGTTAATGTGCTTATCGCGGGCTATAATTCTAATACCCAATCACCGGGTTAAAGTTGTATTAAGTATTAAGTCTCACATTTCTTGTGCTTTTAACCTCTATCCAATGCTGTACAGGTGTAAAATTTACCGTACTCTATTGTTAGTTAGCAGAACTGCAGACTTAGCGGAGAGATAAAAGACTAACGTAGTAACTCGTACTCCGTTTTATAGATCTAGATTGTAGAATACGCTATATAAATATCTACCACATACCACACTTTATATTATCACAAACGACTAGTAACCGAGTACCGGTCTAGAGATTTGGCTGCTGAACCGGAAACAGTAGGATATCAATCTATTTTCCTGTAAGCTGGACCAGAACTGAGTGGCAAACAGGAAAATTAAAACTATACTGAAAGGTTCTGGAATTTCTAACCGCTGGTTGCTATATGTTAGAAAATTTGTATCTGCCATTGAACCCTGTGATACTAT